AAAACCAGCTACACAAACAGACCACAAGAGCTCTGAAAAAAGTCTGCTTTCAAATACAGCAAAATCAAGTCTCATACTATAGCTGTTTCTTTGCCTCTGCTTTTATTAGAAGTATTTTCCCGCTGTCTCACTGATTTTTCAATTAGATTAAATAGCCAATGCTAAAATGTTTTAAAAGTTTCTCATGTGTTTATTTCATATAAAGAAACAGATTTTTTTTCTTTAGTGTTTAAAGGCATACTCTATATAAATACATAGTTCTAGGAGGGATATTAAATGGAACCTATACTGTTACGTATGAAAGCAATTGCAGTCTAAACTAATGCCAAGGAGCAATTACAGCCTAATTGCCTTGGCTTGTTTGGCATGTCATAAATGTTTTTACAATAGTTCTTAGCAAATGAATAGTCAGAAAACAAATTTCTGCAAGTTGTGGAGAAGTTACTACAGCCCATTAAGGCCTTCCTCAAACTGGTTCCATATTCTACCATCTGCAATGTTTGGAAGACATTTCTCTGAGCTGTAAATGCTATTTGTCTGCCAGAAAAAAATCTTTTTCTAATACTTAAGCTACATTTCAACAAATGCCACAGTTTATGAGAGTAGTTTAAAAATGCTGTTGTTCAAGGAGTTAACTTTTCCAACATGAATACTAAAACCATTAGAGATCATATAGGATCCATTAATTTGTTTCCTAGGGGTTTAGCATTAAACAAAGGACCAGTGCAACCTCAATGAAATGTTCTTCTGTGAAACAAAAATCTGTGTCACATTAAAAAAAACCAGTAACTTGTCCCTCTAATTTGATGCTTGTGAAGGACAAATTCCATATATGCTTGCTTTTCTAAATGCAATTTGCTCAAGAAAGCAGGATTTTTTAAAAACTGTGAGACAGCAAAAAATGTAAAGGAAAAGGAAAATGACAGCAGTCACACAAGAAGAGCTGCAGGTAATTTTGTTGCCGTGGAACAAAGTGTGAATTGCACAGGACACAGGAAGAAAGTGGAAGTATATGCTGCAGACTTCTTCACTAATAGATCTTTTCTGCAGCCTTTAGACAATAGGGTTTATTTTCATGATGCACTAGCCCTGGAGGTACTCTCAAGAGATGTTAATAAGACATTGTTGGATACCACATATTGCCACACACAATGGCAGAGAGGATTTTCAGTAAAGGCAGACAGTGTCATAACACTTTGCATAGCTTGCCCAGAAAAGGAAGATCTTTCTTTTTCACCATTTTCAGCCATTTTTCTGTGTCCCAGAGGACTTCTAACTAAACAGAAGAAAAGATTGGAAAAGAGTGTGACAGCAAAATACTAATTGCATTGAGTATAAATACAGAAGCTAAGAAGCTCTCCAAAGATAAAAACTTGGCACACATGAATTTTGACATAGAAATTCTTCTGCCCTGATAGTTCCTTGTACTAATTCAAGTATGAATCTAATAACATCAGTATTTATCAGCTGATGACAACTGAAACCAATAGTTACAATGTACTGAATTTAACCAACATTTTCGTTGCATAACACACTGTGTCCCCAAACCTTACAGCTGGCAGGGACATTTTAAGGGCATCTAAATTAAAGAATTCTGGAAGAAATACTCTTGGGACAATACATTTATGTATCAGTGACATGTATATTTGGCGTAAAATAATTATCTTTTCTTTAAAATCCAATCATTCCTACAAAGAAAAGTTGATCTGCAAAATTATAATTTTATTTGGTGACCATTGGAGAATCTTTAGTCAGTTGATTGCTTAACTTTTGTGTTTAATATTTATGTTAGATCAATAACAGTTCCCCTGTTTTTCATCTCTATGACCCTACAATTTTTATCAAGTGTTTCTAGGATTATACTTTGTCAAAGTGATGGTAAAGCAATAAAAACAGATGGATAAGTGTAAACTGCATTTTCTCTTTACATTTAGTTCTATTCAGTTTTACTCTGGATATATCCATTTGAGAATGCCAGATAGTCTTAAAACCACAGACAAAGTCATTAATTTGACTGAACATAGAAATTGTTTCTAAGATTCTGATGCGCTTAAGTATACCTAATATCTCAACAGCCAAGAGAAAACAATCTTGGAATTAATCATGTTTGTCATTTACTATGAAAATCCACAGTGTGTCTCAACGTTTTAGATTTCATGCTTCAGTTTTATGCTTAAATTAGAATTTAATTATTCAAAAGTGCTCAAATTCTTCAACTGTGTGGCTAGGTTCCCAAGCAATTTCAAGGATTATTTAAACAAACTGAGCTCCTGATTTTGAGACTTGCCTATGAGAAAAAAAAAAACTGGCTATTTTCAATTTGAAATCGGTACATGGCATACATTCCATTCAGGCGGCAGTAAAATCTGCCACTACACAATAATTGCAGACCTCTGGATAAAGACAAAGAAAGAAAAGGATTTAATTTGATTAGCCTCCAACATTATTCATTTAACTCATCTGGGAACTATCCAGCATTAATTCTTCCAATGAAGGTCATAATTCTTCTTTAATTGTTTCCACCTGGTACAGTACTGTCATCAATCCCCTGTTCTCCACCTTTCTGTACTTGGCTCTCAGCCCATCACTCATGCCCTCCCAGTCTTCCCTTGCAGTATCATTAAGGGGCAAGGAGAAAGAGGTTTGGGTTATTTTTGTTGTGACAGATCACAGAACCTCCAGCTTGGTTTCCTCCTTTGCTGGGTGATTTCCCTATGTTCAGTCCCTATTTCTGCTTACACCTCCTAAGACTTAATTCCTGCTTTTTTTCTGCTACATTCAGAGATGCTGAGCTTTTCCTTACAACATGTCCCATATTCCAGGATTCTGCAAAGTTGACTTTTCTAACTCTTCCCCTTTTCTGCCCCTTTTATAGTCCCCCCTATACATCATCCCCTGCTCCCCCTCAAAATATCTCAGTTAATAAAAATCCTTTAGCAGACAAAAATCTTCACTAGCAAATTACTGCACAAACAAGAGACTTAAGGCTCACTAATTCAAGCAGTCAAAGACACTCATTTTACCAAGTCAAATTCTCTCTACTTAGGCAAATTCCATTGCTTAGCATGCTAACCCAAGGCAGGCTATGTTGTTATGTTCCTAGGCATCCTGAGGAGAACAGGGAAACTGTGGGACCCTAAAGAAATTAACGTCAACAAAGGTGACTTCTTACTTCCAGTCCCAGCACATTGCTTTTATGATTGCAGTGACTTCACCCTATATATGAAATCTGTAAGCATTCTGTTACTGGTCATTTTTCTCTGAGAGACTTTTATCATATTTCCTCATTGGAATGATCATGAAAGGAATTTTAATTTTGGAACATAAATGCAATCTGCACACTAGCAAGCATACACACTTTACTGTAAATATGTGGTGTTAAAGCAATAAGCAGTAAACATTTTTGAAGGAAACTTAATTTGTTTTTAATCAGACCAGATAAGAGTGATTATTAATGGCGGTGAATATATTTATCCAGGAACACAGGCTTGCCTAGACAGGAAATTTTGTATTAGTGGAACAGCATTTCTCAGTTTATTGATTTATGTCTAAACTAAATGAGAATATGTTCTATTGCTCTTGAGGTGGATGACATGAGATTGAAGTAGGTATTTTAATATCCTGTTTAATGTCAAGTTAGAAAATTAGGTTCTTCCTCAACCTTTGAGTTTTAGTCATAAAAGACTGATGGTTCAGGACCTCCCAGTATTTCACCATAGACCATCTATTCAAATGGAATGGGCTGACAGCCCCAGGCTGCAAAAATCCTTAGCTGTTTATGGGAAAAATATTTCCTGTCCATTGGATTGTGAAGGTAGCTCAATATTTTTGAATGAATTCATGTAAAGCTATTTGTACATGTTTTTTTAGATATGCTAAGGAAAGTGAAAGCCTGGGTAGCATTGCTAATAAGATTTATCTGGTAAAATAGGTTATATAAAAAGAAAACACACAAGGGAGAAATGAGTCCTATCAGAAGGAACAATAAAATTGAGCTGGGAGCTTCATGTTTTGGGACAAATATATTGCCTTTCCCTTGCACTTACACTAGTGCTGAAGAGAAAACTCTTATCTAGTCACATGAAAGGCCCTTCTTCTCTACCTATAATACTGAAGATAAAAAGGATCCTATCATACATTTACAAAACAAAGATTTCACACTTCCCATTGCTTAAGCAAATTTGACACGTTAATACTTCAAAAAAACAGATTATCTTGTTGCTTGTTTCTGAATTTTTTGTGCAACATTACCTGTCAGCAAATTGGTTTGAGACTGAGCAATAATGATTCTGTATTTTTTCTTCAACATTCAATGCCTTCTGGAAACCATATTGCAGATCATCTTCCTAAAAATACCTTTGCTGTCCGTGAGCCTTAGCAAAGTGCTTCTATTAAAAGACTGCCTTTCAGTTCAGTTTGTTTATTTCAGTTTGTTGTATATACAGCACATTTTCAGCTCAGAGCAAGAAGATGAATGAAAATAAATAATGACACATTTGCAGTAAGAATTTTGTGGCAAAGACCTTTAGTAAGATATTGTGGCTTCAATGCAACCACAACACAAAGACAAACTTTCTTTGTAAATGACAGATCTAATTGTAAAGTTAAAATTATAGTTCTGTGAAAACGAATAGAACAAGTGCTGAAGACACAGTATGTACTGTGTATTGACATGTGGCATTCCCAACAAAAGCATCCCTATTATTCATTAATTGATTTACACTTTTTATCTTTCCATAACATGCAACATTTATTTACCCTACATTTTGAGGCAGTACAGTTTCTGCTGACATGGATATTTTCTTAAAATAGAATATTACAGCAGTCCCCTGCTAGATGTTTAAGCAATGTGTATGTTTATTTTTAAATTTTTTTCTTGAACTTTCTAACTGTGAGCAGGCTGGGAATGTAGAGTCATGATGAATGAGAGTTTGCTTTATAAAAAAAAAAAGAGAAATGTAGACATTTGATGTAACATTGAAGAATTCACAGCCTCCTACCTTAAAAACAAACATTTCCCTGCGAAGAATAGCCAGAGTGTTGAAGTTCCCATCACAGATGTTAGGCTTGGCTCCGGGATAGGAAGGTTTGTCACCAGTGGGTGGCCGGGGAGGTTTAGGTTGCCTGTCATTCTTTCGTGGGTCTGCTGGAGGGACTGAACGATGTGGGGGCACTGTTGGCAGAGGTCTGGTTGGTGGTGGTATCCTGTCAGGTGGACCTTTAAAAATACAGCAGCTGGATGTAATATACAAACCCACCAAAAGAAACATACACAACAAAAACCAGCTGTAAGCTGTACAAACTCGGCTGTGAAAGGGGAATGAAAAAGTGGCCTAGCATACCTTTCTGATGCTATTAAATCATAGAATCACAGAATAAGCTGAGTTGAAAGGGATCCATTAGGATCACTGAATCCAGCTTTTAGCTCTCCCCAGTAGTCACACCATGTGCCTGAGAGCATTGTCCAAATGCTTCTTGAACTCTGTCAGGCTGGTGCTGTGACCACTTCCTTGGGGTGCCTATTCCAATTACCAACCAGGCACTGGTTATAAAGGGTATAAAGAATGACTACCAAAACCAAGGAAAATAATTTAGTTTTCATTATCCAAAATCTTCCTTTTTGGAACAACAGTCCAATAAAACCAAAGGATGCTTTGAAACAATCGTTTCAGATGAGAAGTAGTTCAAAGCAAATTATTTGCCAACTGAGTAAGAGCTCTTATAGCAGAATCATTTTCTCTCATACAAATAAATGGGAAAAAAAAAACTTGTTCCTTATAAGATCATCATCAGTCAATATATTTCCAACCTATAATTTTAATCTATAATCATCAATTCACACAGGCATATATGTTGAATACCTGCTACTTCCTACTGACCAAATTTTTAGATCAAGTAATGTCATATACATTAGAGACAGGACATTCTCAGCTTTATCCAGTGTCCCTTGGTAAGTACAGGAGCTCCTAAAACTGGACCTCAAATCCTAGGTACGTATAGAACACACTACCCCATCATCCCCTGCCATGATTCGCATATTTTCTTCAAGTGAAAAATTAAAACTCCATAGAGCAGTCTTAAAACATTTTTCTTAATTCAAATATATTATTTGTGAAAATATACAGAGTTTTATGAAATTACTATCCCACTCATAATTTCTCTACCTGCAAGACATGATACTGTCTGCCCATGCTAGACAGATACTGATCATAACCATAATGGCATACTGAACAACTTGAAATGAGTGTACTGAAAATGCCTTCCCCTCTCTACACATATCAGCAACATTTATTTTTCATAAAAATAAAGATAAGAAGATTCACTTGCATCAGTAAGATGTCTGGAAACAAGATGAATGTTTCAATTTTTGCTCATTCTACTTTGGCCTCTCTTCAAATCATTTAAACAGATATTCACTTTGACTTTAAAAGATAAATAGTTTGCATGATCACCTTCAGAAAAACATTTGAACAGTAAGACAAATCTAAAACTGCACAAATGACATTTAAATTTCTGAGAACTTTACAAAGAAACCACATACTTTATAAAGAAAGAGATGGATTATGTAAGGAAATCTTAAACTCGCCAAATGGTTGTCAAGCATTTTGATAAGGCATTTATTTCATTCACAATTTTAATACTTGTGACATTTATAATTTACAGTTAATAACAGTATTTCAAGGAATACTGCAGACCAAAGTAATTATTTTAATAGGTGTGACATTTTTATTGAGGCATATGATTCCAGATCACATCTTGATTTTAAAGGGAGCAAAGGAATCAGCTTGCAGTAGCTCGTGTTGGAAAGTTTTTAACCCCAAATCAAAGTTTTTTTATGCCATTTGGTGGTGATGTCAGATATTACTTCCCAGGGGTAACACATTTCTCTTAAAGTATAGCCCACAGCTGTTCGAGCTTAGCAGCTAGTTTTCAGCAAAGTATTCTTGTCTAGCCCTTAAGTCTAGACTACCAACTTATGAGGTCATGAGAAACAACCCTCCTTCCAGCTAATCACACAGGAAAAAAACCCAACCAAACAAAACTTGATCACCCAATCATTTTGAAATTGTTATTTATGCTTTATGAAAATATATATTTGTGCTTGTGAATATCATATTTTTAAATTCTTGTTGCTATTACACCATGGAGTCTGCAGATTTCTAGTTAGCAGTACAGTAATTCTTCATGACCATAGTTGTCCTTTCTGGTAGGAAAGATAAAGAAGGAATGGCTCTCACAATATTCAACATAAACACAACAAACTTTACACAGGAAAAACTGGGAGTATATAATTCAATCCAATGAAAATTTAATTAAGGAATATTAAGCAAGGCAATATCAAATTATATGCACTGGATACAGAGCATTAACACAGAGACATGACAGAATTTTCAATTCTAAAAATAAAATATATCTTTAAAGAAAATAAAAGAGATCACTTAGCATATACCAATAGAATCAAAGACATTAAAAACAAAACTAAAGCTATGTCTTTGGAAATTTAAGAGAGATTAATATCGGAGTTAATGTTACAGTCAACCCATAACCACACTTAAGTCATTGTTTTGATTTTTTTAAAAAACTTAATTGCCTTGTTAAATGTAGACTTTAATTGCACATTTATTTTATATCAGGCCATAAAAAACCTACATAACATATTTTAAAGAAATTGTCCCTTCTTTACCTCTGTAGGGACTGGTGACAACATTATTTTGAGATCAATTTGTAATATTTATCATAAGAAAGGGTGTTTTCAGGACCTCAGATTTTGAGGGAAATTTTCTGTATTAAAACTGATATACTGAGAAGCAATCAATTCATCCAGTTACATGAGTTTGGACACATGTAAATAATCTCATTAAAGTCTGCATTTCTAAATATTTTCATAGTCTGGAATAATTTTGCATTAATTTTCTTTATGTATTTTTAAAACATTTTTTTAGCAATTTAAAATTACTATTCCAGATGAGTGCAAATTTGAATATAAGCTGTGGACAGTGAGAACAAAGTAAGAGCATCCTCAAACTCTTTGGATGTTTTACTCACACAGAGACTGTGGCATAACAAGTGGTGAAGTCCAGACTAATGAACTCTTTGGGGAGGTGATATGGACAGGAGGACCTCAAAGGTGTTCTAAACCAAAAAGCTTGTGCTGTCTGATGAGAACACGACCTACCATATATCTTCTGGATGCCCTGTAAATCGTCATTAGGTAGTTTGAAGTTGTCAGTTTCCATATATTGGTAAAATGGAGCCATGATTGCAGTGGGGTCATTAGAGTGCTCCAAGCCCAGAGCATGTCCGAGTTCATGCACCGCAACTAGAAAGAGATCGTTTCCTGTGAAGAGAGAAAGGAAAAAGACCTTTGAATCCACAAAGCCTGAAAAAAAAATAACACACGGAGGACTCTGCACTTGCAAGATGTTTTTACTGCATTTGAGTTTCACAAAGTAATGAGTAGTAATTAATGGATCACGAGGATATCAAGGATAATGTGACAGAAAAGGCAGATTTCTCCTGTTTCTTTTCTCTAACAAGAAAACTATTATGCTATAATATATAATCTTACAGTCATCATAAACATAAACCTTTTAAATTGATACACATGGTAACTGTAGGGTTCAAGTGTCATAGCTCGTGTCTAGGCTTTTGTGTAATTTATGACTGGATGTTGCCATGAACCCAACTAAAAATGCTTTAATCAAGACATAGTTCCAATAGGAAAATAGCTTGGCTTTGTTTGGTAAACTTCACAAACTGAAGACTACCTATTTAGGACAAACCCCACAGAGCACTTAGTCATCCAAACACTTGTAATCAGACCCCTACTGATTATATGTAGATGTTGTCCATTTCTTAATCACTGTAACTGAAATCCTAAAGAAGAAAATAGATGTCCTAATATATCCCACTGTGTAATTCCTTGAAATAACTGTAGTTTTTTATTTAAGTATTAGAGCTTTTTTAGTTTTTGTAGGACTAAAGAAAAAACCCCAAAACCATGCACTCATGCTATAGACCAGTTTAATGTTTTTGTTATATTCTCTTCTCAAAAGTATCTTTAAATTCTTTATTACTGAGCATTAGACACAACTGGAAGATTTGGCAGTAGAATTATGGCACTTTTCTGAAGCAAACACAAATCAAAGCCAATGGAATCTTTTCCAAAAATAAAAGTTTCAGAGCTGGACTTCTATGGTACTAATTTTGTCTATTTTTGCTCATCTAAGATTTCGTTCTGCATATATTTCTATGAGCCTTTCATACAGATTCTGTTGTACTTAATCTGTCACAAAATGAGACTTTGGAAAAGTGTTTTGGATCAGGAGAAAGATTCCAGTTTTCTGAATAGGGTCACATCCAGAATGTGGCTCATTTCACCATCTAGAGATGGGAAGAGCTATCCTCCAGAAGTGTGATCCTGTCCTACTGACAAGAGAAGCACTCCAGATCAGCAGCTTGTGCTGGCCATCTAATGTTTAAATGCTGAACTCATGTGAAGCTGGTGTCACCTATAGCAAGTAGTTTCTTGTTGAAAGAGAAGTATAAATAATAAAAGGCCTGTGCTTTGGCCTATTAGTCATATATTGGTTGTGAATACAAAAAAAAATGTTCAACTTTAGCACTTAAACTATATTCTGTAGATTCTTTGGGGATGGACAGTTATTTTCCACTGCTGGAACTTGATCTGGAAGTACTTTTAAAATGTCAGTAGTAACAATATTAAGTTGTATCAGCAACAAAATTACATGTATATACATTACAGAACTTTGAGGACATAGTTGACAGTATTTCAATTTTTCAAGCATTTCCTCTTGTTGACACAAAAAAAATAAACTTCATCCAAAGTACATATGAAAGAGGAAACACTAGATGCCTTCATAATGTATGAAGCCATGCTGATGTCTGTAAAATAAATTTTTGAATGAAATCATGAAAACAGACACAAGTAAAACTATATGCTTAGTTCACACAGTCTTCCCATAACTTCTGATTTTTAATTTGAAAATATGACAACTAAATGGTCTTGATCTTTTATTCAATATAACTGTGCAAAAAAATAACATCTTTCAAAAATTAATGTGACATAATGTGCTTTCAGAAATGAGAAGTTTATCCTATCATTTATAATTATGTGGTTTCCAGATAAAATGTTTTCTGACAATATTTTTCTTAGATGCAGCTCTTTTTATAGCAAAGCAGAATCTCAATGTGCTGTTTCAATAGGTTTGATAAGCCCAACTGTCCTCGTGACAAATGCTCCTGATATCTGAAGCTGGCCTTCTATATGCAGACAAAGATGATCTTGACATCATCTCATATGAATAATGCACAGCCTCCGTAGCTAACATCAGCATAGGAAGTGATACACAGAAGGAACTTTGTAAAGGTTTTCATTCTGCACTTATAATGGAATAATTAATGCAGTTTTAAATAATCATAGGTTTAAGATGGAAAGACAGAAGAGCATGTACTACAGCTTTCATACTATGATGAAAAGTCTCATATTATTTTTCAATTCTTTTCTGAGTTTTGTGAAAGTTCTAAACTAGGTTTATTAGAATGCAAAATTTCTTTCCCTGGTATTAACTTGAATAATTAACCAGCAACCTCCTTTTGCTTTTCAGACCTTCTGAAAACAAATTTCCCTCTTATGCCCATGCTTTCCACATTCTAATTAAGAATATTATCTCTTCTATTAAAAAATGCAATAACAAGTTGGCCACATTATTAACTGAATTATTTCAATATAGTTTTGAATTAAGAGTATTTATTCTACCATTATCAGTAGATGAAACAGTTTTCTACATGTTTTACCTCTACTGTTTGAGGCAAGAAGCCTGGGAAGTTAACTAGTTATAATTTCTAAAATGTCAAGAAACCACAGTTAATCAACAGTCTTGGAAGAGTCTACTACTTCTATTTGTGCCAGTTATGCAATACATGAAGCATCAACACATCCTTTGGTTCTCAGCCCTTATTGAGTCCCCTTACAGATTTCCAGCAATTCCTACATTTTGTTCCATGTTGATCTGAAAGACGTGAAATACATAGCAACAGGGAAACAAATCAAACTGCCTTTCAGCTACTGGCATATCTTCCTTCCAGAATCACAGATAATGAGCATATAGTAGAGCATTTCTACAGTAGTAGTAAGTGACAGTGGGACCATGTCAGACAACAGATATTATGCAGCGGCTGGCTGTTTCTCCTTTTGTCTTTTCGATAGGGGACATTACGTAAAGAGAAAACAAAACAAAACAAAACAAAAAACCCAACCAACCAAAAACCCCCAAACATTACATTCAGTGTCTGACTGCCCCTCTGGATTTAGTCTTTATTTCCACCTGACGCAATGCAACTTGTAGCCATCAGGGGAGCCATTAAGTGTGGCAAAGGCAGAACAGCCCTTGAGCAAATGAATAAGGGGGAAGGGAGAAGGTCGCAGGAAAGAGCTGGGAGAATAATATTCTTGCCTGGGGTGACAATGATTTAACAGGGAACATATTTTCTACTTGTAGCCAAATAGCCCCATTATTCATAACAATTTCCATCAAGAGTCATGATTGTCTCCAGGGCATCCTGAATTTAAACTGACCCAAATAACTTAGTGAGTGCAATTGAAACTCAGGTTTAAACCAGCCCAAGGTGAGCTGTCTGAGTCTAGTACAGGTAGGGCCTTATTATTATCTTAGTTTCCATCCTTTTTGCTTTGCATACGATTAGATTTCTCTAATTAGGTAATGATTATTCAGTGCCTCTTTGCTTTAGGGAGCTGACTTGCCCGGAGTACCTCAATGTTACTGCAGAAAGCTCCTGAGAGTGCAGAAAGACAACCTTCTGTAAGTCTTGCTCTTTCTCTCAAGGCTGCAGAGAAATGTATTTGTGACTACAAGGTCGATGGTAGCACACCTTCAATTCCTTGGTCAGTACTCAGGATAAGTTGAAGAAGTGTAAAAATAAGTGAGCAATCCTATTCGCTCAGGCTGACTTTGTTATCCTAATGATATTGGGGAGTTTTTACATTTTCAGTTGCCACCACTGAAGGAGAGAGTCACAAATCATTCTATATTTCAGTATACATTATCCAAGTAGGACATATTTCAGTCCACATGGAAAAATGAAGCACCACCTAACAAGTCACAACAGAGTTAATAGCATATGACTACAATGATTTTTAAAGCAAAGAGTTGCTACTGAAGGATATACAATGGTGAATATTCTTTGTGATAGTCTAAGTTACATCTTGTTGTATATCCATAAGTAGTAGAAAAATACTGGAAAATATATTTCACGAGTCCAAAACTTGTGCGTCTCTATTCTTGTGTTTCCGATTAGCATGGAGGTTTGGAATAGAATGGCTGTATGCTCAAAAAGTTTGTGATTGTTTTTCTTATTTTAACTCAAGTTTGATTTCACAGGGGAAGAAAAAAAAGATACTGTGTGTAAAGAACTAAGATAAAATTATTATTTTTATACTGCCACTTTTCTCTGAGGCTATAAACTATTTTAGGCACTAAATCTGCCTGACTTTACAAACACTGCCCAAACTCCAGAATATAAATATGTTTTAATATATCAAATATTCAACAGCCAGCAGTGTGGAGCATATTGTATGGGGAAGCCTTTCCCTATAGCTAATATATACACTATTTTTCACATCTACAGATAAACAAAGCTAATATGTTTGTCTACAGCAAGTTATTAAGAAAACCTGGTTCTGAAGATATTAATTTCCATTTTAAATGGTATGCGAGTTCAATTTATGAAAGCAATAACTTAATGGTTTAACATGTGACCTCAATTATGAAGACTTGCATCCCAAGGAAAAGAAAAAGAAACCTTAGAAACTGAATTTCAAATTACAAACAAACTCTAAAATACAAAAATATTTTATACATAGACACTCGTTGTTCCAAAGACTATTTATTTCATTTTTCATGATGTAGATAAATGTTTTCTAATTAAATTCATATCAAACTGAAATTTAAATCTACACAAGACTTTTTATAGTCCTATTACCAACAAGACAGTATCTCAAAGGCAAACTTAACAATTAATCAGAAATATTGCACACACACAAAATACCCATCATTTTCTGTTTGATGTATGCAGAATTTGCATTTTCATTCTTCTGTTCATTTGTACTATCTGATGCATCCAAACAGATTAAATGCTACAAACTATAGAGTAAGAGTCTTATTCTACATAGAATACAAAAAGGAAAAAAAGAAAAAAAAAGTTTTATTTTTGTTATTATTATCCTTTCCAGACAGGACAGAATTTTGAAGATGCTGTTTCAAAAGTCAGTCATAAAAGAAGATTCTTTCTTTCTGA